CCCTTGTAGTGTGTGGACATCAAGCGACGCTGGGCAGGGGGTTTCAGCACGAAGAGGAAGCAGATGCCAAGCACACACATTAGAATGCCGTCTTCTCCACCACACACGGTGAATGATTACAGATGCCAGCAGTCTCAGGGAAAATATGCTGGGCACATGGCTTTCTTCCACCTTCAGGCCACTTTTCTTTGCTTGTACAGGATCCAAAGAAACCAGAATGAAACCAGAATGCAGCTGGCCGCCACATCCCAACCCCTAAGTGCGGATGTGTTTTCAAGTGCCAGGGGACACGCTTCCAGTTTCGGTCCAAACGCATTTACTAAAGGGCTAAAACAGGCCAGGCCCCGCGGGGATACGCGAAGGGTCCTTCCCAAAAGAAGGGCACAACCTCGCCTGACCCCCCAGTTCCATGATAGTAGGTCGAGCGATCAGCCAGGCCTTGTGCTCAGTTGGGGGGTGAGCAGAAGAGAGCAGAGCAAACAGCGGGGGAGTGATTCCTGCCCCCCAGGCGATCGCACATTCCCGAGGAGGAGAGGTCACGGAGCCCCTATTTCCCTTTCATTCTCTCGGCAGTCTGGATCAGAGGCAGGGCACCACACCCATAAAATGGGTGTGGCAACCACAGCGTGAAGGTCAGTGCCTTCCCTGTAAAACTTCTGTGCATCAAAGGTCACAGTCGACAGACAGAAGAGGCAGCCTCCGAGATGGGAGAAGATATTCGCAAAAAAATATATACGGTACGGGGTTCGTATCCAGAATGTATAAGGAACTCCGATGAATCAAGAAAAAAAACTCCCAAACCTCATTAAAAAATGGGCAAAAGCTTTGATTAGATATTTCTCCAAATGGGATAAATGAATACACAATAGGCTCATGAAAAGATGCTGGACATTACTAATAACTAGGAAAATGCAAATCTAACCATGATAAGTTATCACTGCCCACCAGGCAGACTGGCTAACTCCCAAAAAAGAAAAAAACAGCCCTGGCCGGTGTAGCTCAATGGGTTGGATGCCAGTCTGTGAGCCAGGGGTCACTGGTTTAGTTCCTGGTCAGGGCACGTTCCTTGGTTGCAGGCCACATCCCCAGTAAGGAGGGGGGGCGTGAGGGGCAACCACACATTGATGTTTCTCTCCTCTCTCTCTCTCCCTTCTTCTTTCTGGAAATACATAAAATCTTTTTAAAAAGAGAGAAAGAAAAAACCAAGTGCTGGTGGAGATGTGGAAAACTGGAACCCTGTGCACTGTTGGTAGGAATGTGGAATTGACACGGAGAACCGTGTGATGAGTGCGAGGAGGGGGCGGGGTGGGGGTGGAAGAGACTACAGTGGGGATAAATAGTCATGGAAAAAGTACAATACAAATTAATTTTAAATATTTCAAAGGCTTTTTAAAGAAGGTGGTCTCGTCACCTTCCGGTTATGACTTGGATGGCAGTTCCTGCAGAAAGGTGGTCATTTCTGGTCTCCCAAGACCGACGTTATTACCTGGGAGGGAACCCTGCTCGCTGGAGCAGGGGCTGTAGGTTATGTCTGGACAGAGTGTTCCTTCCTAAATGAAGTCTACAGACACAATGCTGGCTTTCACGCCTGTCCCCCTCTGTGATGCTCACCGCGACCACGGAGCGGGCAGGGCGGGTTGTGTTGGGTCCCTCTTACACGGGTTTAGGCCAGCGCTTCTCCACCTGCGCACTGTTGACATCTGAGGCAGGAGGACTCTGTCCTGGGGGCTGTCCTGTGCACTGTAGGATGTTCGGCATTGCCGTGACATCTCACCACTAAGGTGCCAGCAGCACCCGCCCCCTCCAGCTGTGGCAGCCAAAATCTCCACAGACACTGCTAGCTGTGCCCTAGGAGAAGGCACCGCCCTGAGAAGCACTGATCCACAGGGTTTGCTCCAAGGGCTCACACAGCCTGCACGGGAACCGCACCTTCTCGTTCCACATCTCTGCTCCTCCCTGATACGGAGTTATCCTGCACTTAAGGTGTCTGGAGACTCACTCCCACCCTTCTCTGCCCCGTTCCATGGCCTGGAGCAGGGCATCCAGAGAACATCACTGGCTTCCCGGCCCTCTGGCTCCAGGTGGTTGGGCCAGTGGTAGGCACGGGTGATGGGGGGAGGGAAGAGGTGGGAGTATTTAGTCCCCCTCCCCTGCCTCCCTCCCTGCACAGGGGCTCTGAAGGGGGCTCAGCCAGCCAGGCCCTGGGGAGCACCAATGCCTCCCTGTCCTCAGTAAGGCACAGGAGTGGGGTCAGGTCCCAGGCCGTCAGCCCTGACGTGAATGGCTCTCCTCAGTCATTTGCTTGACCTCTGCCTGCCTGCGTACATCAATCTTCATTAATTTAATTCCAGTTTGACCTTCTTGACTGGGCTGGTTCCCGACTTTTAAAACCTGTAGCTGCACAGTTAGGACAAGAACTCAAATTCAACACACAGCACCCTGCAGCTCCAGCGCTTTCTGCCGCCTGCCACCCACCGCATGTGCCCTCCTCCCTCCCAAACCCTTTAATCCTGGGTCACTAATGCCCTTGTGCTATGCCTCTCTCCACCTCAGGCTAAGTTATATCTGTCCTGTCTTATCCCCTCCCCTGGGCACAGGGATTTGGGAGGAAAAAAGAAAGGCATTATATTTCATCCTATACATGTGGACATGGAATTATATTAGGGGAGACCCCCCAAAATCACAACTTATTTATTAAAAATTGTTATTCATTGTTACATGTTTAAACTTCAGTCACCTTTGAAGTACTCTTCATTTGATACAACTATTGAAATGTTTTTGCACTGCTCCAGTTTTGAACTCATCAGTGTTGATGGCTTTTAGTGCTTCTGCGGTGTTGTGTTTCACCTCTTCCACAGCAGCAAAACATTTCCCTTTTAGGACTTTTTTCATCCAGGAAACAAGAAAAAAAAAGTCACTAAGAGTGAGATGGGGTGAGTGGGGGTGGGGCACCGGGGGAAGGGTCATGCATTTTTGATCAAAAATTGTTAACGCTCAGTGTGGTGTGGACAGGTCAGCTTGTAAATCACCCCTCGTGAAATGGACAAATGTGTTGTCTTCAAGGAAAAAAAAAATCACTGAAGCCCAACGCAGCCTCTCACAACAGCCCCAGCTAGTGCAGATACAGATGGGCTCCGAGAACACTCACCTAGTGGGAGAAACCTGGGCTACAAGGGGCCCGCCCTCCAGAAGATAATTCCGGGTTTTTTGTTTTTGTTGTTTTTTTTTTTCAGTTCCTTCTCATACTGTGTTTTTCCCATTTTCCTTCAATACTTGGATATAAAATTTATTAAAGTAGTTCTCAAACTTTTAGAACTTTCTAGACTATCATGGGGTCCCTTGCAACCATGCTTTGCACATGACTGGAGTCCAGCAAATGTCTGCTGAACAAATGAATGCCCCCAATACCCTTGGACCACCAGGGGCTGACACAAGGGGATAGCTCCTGGAGGCATGGGCTTGTCTTGGAGAAGCTCCCAGCCGCCTCAGAGCTCTATGGTCACAAACTCGTAGTTTCAGAACTACTCCTCTTTGATGTGGACTTAAACTGGGTGCATTATATTGATAGCATGTACTTTATTTTTAAAAAAGAAATGGTATTAAATTAGCTAGGGCAGTGCTCTACTTGTCATATTTTTTAACTACTTGTTTTAAAAAAAACTGTTAGCCCACTTAAAATACTAATCATAAACCATTCCTTCTGCACATAGAGCCTTCTAGGCTGTTCAGCAAATTATTCTTCTAAAAGTGCACATTTTGACACCTGCAGGCAGAATTTACTTTCAGGACCTCCCACGACTCTCCTCACTTTAGATCTTTTTTCCCCTCTTCCTCTGTCTTTTCGCTTTCCTAGCGCAGAGCAGCACAGAATAAACCAAAAATGCTTTGCCTGGCAACTTTCAAAGAAATGCAAAACCGGGGCCAAAGAGAACGCAATGATTTCCAAGTGCCCAGTCAAGACTCGGCTCCTTAATCAGCAATGATTTTCAAGTGCCCAGTCAAGACTCGGCTCCTTGATCATCGCGGTGATGCGCCAGCGCACTCACTCCGTTCACTCCTACAGTCTGCCTCCTGCATTCCTTCAATCTCGACGCCTGCCATCAGGTTTCCGGCAGGTTTTGGCACTGGACACACTGGGGAAGTAGTATGTATATCAAAGTTACCCTAACCCTCAGTAAACTCATCTCTCCAGAGCTCTTAGCGAGGTGACAGAATCACGTGACTAGTGGTCAAAATGCAGGTTTCCTCACATGGTTTATGATCAAGCCAAACTAAAGAATAAAATAAAAGCCCATTGGAGCTGGTGGAGCCTCAGGATGGGCACCGGTAGGTGGTGGGCGGGGCCTAGCGGGGCCCCGGGAAACCGCCGCTCCCGCGGCTCGCGGGCCTGCGGGCTGCCCCGCGCACTGGCCCGCGGGTGCTTTAGAGTTTCTCGAGCACCGCGGCGGAGACAGGACGAGGCCGGGAGGCCGCCGTTGGTGCCGGTCCGCGCCGCGCATACTGCATTAGTTGTTGCCATCCGTTTCAGACGCGCCGTTTCCGCGCCTCTTTTATCTCTGACCCTCACCTCCACCGCCGGTACTGGCGGGTCGCCGCACACGCAGCCCCACGCCCGTTCGTCTGACTCGGCCAGGCTCTCGCGGCCGTACCTTTGGCGCCACTGCCACTACCACCCGGCCTCAGACTGACGCGAGCCGGAGAGAGACGGAGGAGGGAGCGAGGGACACGGACCCGCGCGGGTCTGGGAAGCGGGAGAGCGTTAGGGCACGTGAGGGCGCGTTGGCCAATGGCAGGGCGTCTGGCGGGAGGCGGGGCGGGGCCTACGGGAGAGCGGGGTGGCTGCACGGGAGCCGCGGCCCGGGGGCGGGGAGGGAGGTGAGGGGAGGGGCGGCCCGGGGAAGGGGTGGGGCGGCCCGGGGGAGGGGCGGAGAGACGCCGCCGCCGCCACCGCCGCCGCCGCCGCCGCCGCGGCTGCCGCAGCCTCTGGGAACCTGGAAAAGGGGAAGCGCGAGCGAGCGAACGGCTCAGTCCCCGGGCGGCGGCGGCGGTGGCGGCGGCGGCGGCGGCCGGGGCGGGGGCGCTGCTGCTGCTGCGGGGGGCCGGCGGCGGAGGCGGCGGCAGTGACGGCCCGCACCAGCCATGCCGAATAAAAACAAGAAGGAGAAAGTGAGTCGGGGCCCGGGCCAGGAGACTGACCGGCGGGAAGGGAAAGGGGAAGGGGCCGCGCGGAGGGCGGCGGGGAACTGCCCGGGAGCGGGGCTCGGCGGGACTCGGGGTTCTGTGCCTGGACCGCCGGCCCCGGGGTCCGGAGGGCTGTGGGGGGGGCCTCTGCCCGTTCTCGGGGTGGGGGCGGGGGTGGTTCGCGCCGGGCCGGAGGTCCTGACTGCCGGCGTGGGCGCCCGGGGCGGTGTGCGCGCGCGGTGGGCGTGAGGGGACAGGTGCGGCGGCGGAGGTGGTTGACCCAGCCTCGCAGACCTGGGCAGGGGCTTCGGGGTGGGGGCTGCAGACGCCTCGGAGGGACGCGGGCGGGGAGCGAGTGGACCCCGCTTAATGCTTCGGAGGAAGGGTTTGCTTTCCAGAGGGCCGCTCTAGGGCTCTGAAATTCTGTTATTCGGGGTGACGGCGGCGATGGCTGTGTGTGCGCTGCGTTCTTACTGGGGGGAGAATGTTTCCGCCTCAGGTGGAGCTCTGTAGCGTTCCGATATCACCCCAGAGATCCCCCGCTCACAGGGCTTAGCCGGGAGCGAAGAAAGGAATGTGCTGTGCATCCTTCAAAATGCTGACAGTGCTGTATAAATTAGGGATTGTCTGTTTCTGCTGAAAGTTTTCAACCCCAGATACGTAAAACGGGAAATCTGAATTTGAGTGACGACGAGGGTGGCGTCGAAATGTTGTGTAGCTACCTAAACAATATGGAGAATTTCTTGGTGGTATTAATTAAAACTATCATGAGTCCTTGTTAAATCCGTTGGCAAACTTTGATTATCTGTTGTTTAGCAGTATAAACTTTGCGAAGCCTAATTAATTCTTGATGTTTCCCAGGAGTTACCAAAAGCAGGAAAAAGTGGGAAAAGTTCAAAAGAAGGACAAGACGGAATAGAACCAGAGGTAAGTATCCTCAAATACTCATTTTCTGCTTTTTCGTGAACAGCTTTGAACGTAGGGTAGAAAAACCAAAGATATGGTTTTGTAATGTTTCCTATATGAGATTTTTTTCTAGTGTCTTGTGTCACTCTCACTTTCAGTGATTTTGGTTTTCATTATTCTACTTCAAGTAAACATGGACGTTATTGTGACAGTTGTGTCTCTCTGTGCCGCTGGTATTTTCAGATTCACTCTCCTCACCTCAAACCTAGCAGCTGGGCAGCTCTGTCCCTCTGGAGTTATCCATGTTGCTTTCAGTTCTCATCCTGCCCCTTCCTGTGCAGGCACCAGGTCCTTCTTCCAGCAACTCATGCTCCTTCCACCGCCTGTGCTGTGCTGGGTGCTGCTGGTTTCCTGGGTCAGGTCCTTAATGTGTGGCCCACTTAGCCTCTGTCCCCAATAGTGTCAGTATGCTTTGGTTTATCTGGTTTGGGTGTTTTTGTGTTGTCTCCAATCTTTCACATTTTCTTTCTGTCCGTATTGGCCAGTTCTGACTTCTTTGGCTTCTTGACTTAGGGCTCATAACGGGACAGCTAGAATGCTCCGTGAGGATTGCGGCTACCCAGTGGGGTTTATGTGGTCCCTGATGAGGTTGTGCTTTGAGAGCCTGTGCAGAGCTGGCCCCAGGCTTTGCCTTATCGCTCCCGGAAGAGCTCACAGGTGCTTCTGAATCATCCGGGGAGGGGAAGCTGCTCGATATCGCGGTATCTGGTTCTCCAGAGTCTGATCATGGATCCAGCAAATCAGTTGCCCTCCCGAAAGCAAAAAGCAGAAATCCAAAAGGGCTCCTTAACGACCAGTAGTTAGGGTCTACTCTCTGCCCTTTCTTTATGGCAGACAATCAAGTTTTACTGTGGCATTCTTACAAGTGACTTGCTTACTTCCCTGTCACTCTTGACTAAATGGATTTAAATGAAGTTTAGTCCCTCCGGGAGGATGTGTGCTTTCTATTTCTTTTTATTGGTTTGTTGGTCTTTCATTAAGACTGCTGAGACTTCCTAGTGCGCCCTTATTGCTCACATACCAGACTCTGCTCACTATTCTCATCAGAAAGGAGTATCGATGGGTTTGGTGCATCTATTCCTGTTTCGGCGGAGAGAACCTGGCTGTGAGGATGGCTAATGTGAAGCTTGTACCTGAAAAACCCATCGGTAACTGAAAGACACCAAAACCGCCAGTATGTAAAATGCGTGTTTTTAAGGGGACTGGGTTCCTAACTGTCAGTCACCGAGGACTCTCGAGGTGGGGCCTGTGGCGTTGATGTGATGTGCAGTTGTCTGTATTTTTCCTGGTACTGCAGCCTAAGAGCTGGAGCCGCAGAGCTGCAAACCCTGTAACTCGGGGCCCTCCACTACTTCCTCGTGAGGGTGCCCGGGGCGACATGGCAGACTGCATGACAGGCGGATGACTCTGTCAGTTGTTTTGCAGGAGTACAAATGGAGGCCCTGAGTTCATCAGAACTTTGAGTCGAGCCTACTTTGTTATTGTTTTCTCCCCTCTGTCTTCATCTCGTGTCTTCATGCTGAGTTCCGGCCACTTAGCAAACATGATCGACGTGCTCTTCCCCTCCCGTCTCAGGATTAGTGGAACCTGAACATGCAGACTGGTTTCCGTTCCCATGTTGTTTTTAACGTTGCTCCCCCTTCGCAGCCGGCCTTCGCTCGGTCGCCCTGTGAGCACGCCTCTGTTAGGGCGGTTCCCACACTCCGCTGCACAAGCCGAGATGTGCAGACAGTGCCTGGCGTGGCGGGTCTGGATGTAATCGCCACAGAGAATGTGTCCCAGAACGTGGCCTGCCTGCGGCCACCTTGACACACATGTCCACGTGTGGGCTGGCCCCGTTGGCTGCGAGCTGGCCTCACAGAGGCTGCAGGTGGCGGTGCGCGCTGCCCGGCGCTTTTGGCTCAGACGAGGACCGCCTGCCTGGCGGTTTTCCAGAAGGAGGGGCATCCTGTGGCAGAGAGTAAGAGAATTGAGTGGTGTAGGGAGAGTATTTCGGCCCTGAGTTTGGACGAGGGAACTGCTAGCACCTGAAGCCCGAAATTTATGACCTGACCTCCGTGGCTCTGGTTCCTCATCCTTAAAATAATTTGGACGGTTTCAGATTTGGCTATTTTTAACTCCATGGGACAGACTAGGCATGGGCCCTCTTGAAAGAAGTTTTCCCTGCAGTATGTCTGGCAGGGTTTATCTTCCAGTATAACAAAACGCTGGTCACTGTTTTTGCCTTTTCCTAGAAATTTCTGCTCCTTGAATAATGTGTATTGGTGCTTTTTTCTTTTTCTTTCCTCCAAGTAGAATGTTTACCCACACGTGTCCTGGAAATAAAAGTTTCTGCCCAGTACCTACTGCTGGTTTATTTCATGGCACACTTTCGAGTGAGGCCACAAATGGGCTGATGGGACACTTGTGGAGGGACAGTCCACCAATGGGACACTCTGGAGGGACAGTCTGGTGTGACACTCACGTCTGTGGAAACGTAACTGGGGACATCGCGTGAATATTTAGAATCTTAGTAACTTGCTCAGAGAGCCCTGAAGGCCGTTTGCAGGGCCAGGCCATGCAGGGGTGGTTTTGCATTTTAGTCCCTGCACTGTGTCCGGAGTGATTTGTTTTAAGCCCTTAGAGCTTGCCCAAGAGTTGGTCTCTGGTTGTGCATTTTGCATATCCTGCCTCGGCTTGGTGTTTGTTTGAAAGTCTCTACAGCAACTCTTACATAATGTTTGTTGCCGTGAAGAAAGCTGAACAGTCTGTTCTCCATCTTGGTAGCTCGTTTTGACACCTACCTTTGGAAGTGACTTCTTTCTATAACCCGTCCCTGTACCTTTACCTGCTGCTGCCCCGCCCCACCCCCCCACCCTCCACCCTCGAGTCTAAGACAAGGAGCCAGGATTACTTAGGTACAGGGCGGGTAGAGGTTAAAACAGAAACTTTGGAAATATTTATGAACTCATCGAAGAAAAACAACACCCATTACGTATTAACATAAACAACATGTTAATGAAAAATGTCTTTTCAAGAAAACCTGTTTGACTTTCTAGCCACTGTTCCCTGCAGCAGGAATTGTAGTCAGTTGGAAGAGGACAAGGAAAGTCGTTTTGTTGGCGGGTGTGTTTCTGGGGAGGTGTCTGTGGTGACTACCCCGAGAGGCCGACTCCCCGCGCCCAGAACACCAGGAGCCTCTCTGTAGGTTCCGATGTGAACTCGGGTTTCTGCTGGGGGCCCCCCGCAGTACATTTCCCATGGTCCTCTTCCCAACTTGGCTTATGCAGCCCTAGACCGGACTGCAGAGAAACTCAGAGATGACCCAAAGGAATAGTTCTTTAAAATTTTTTTTTGAAATTCTTGTGTAATTATTATGTAGGAAATGGAATTCTCCACTTTCAGTTGCCACCTTTTGGTTCACTCTCCCCCACAGTTCCATGGAAGAAAGATGAGGGGCTAGGAAGGCATTCGCTCTTGGAGGAGGAGGGCCAGGAGCCTGCCTCCCTGGGGGTAGTGGGGAAGCAGCTCTTCCAGGGCTGTCCCCTTTCTAGCGCCCACTCCTGTCCTACTTACAAGGCAGACTCTTGGTAGGCCCTGAGTGCCTCCTGTCGATCGGCTGCTCTGGGGGCAGGCATGCCACCCTCTGCGGCCTGTGTGGGGCCGGTGCTTCCTCAGGCTGCTGCCGGGAAGAGGCCGGACGCCTCCTGGAGGGCAGAATGGCCCGCTGCTGAGACCAGTGCTCTAGGAAGTCTGCTCCATGAAGTACCTTCGCTTTGCAAGTCCTGCCAAGCACGTAATGTCTGAGAGAAACCCCTTCCTCCTGAGCAGCAGGGCTCGGGCACACGGGGCGTCAGCACCTGCACAGTCTTCAGAGTTAGCGAGGGTCCCGGAGAGCTTCGTTCAGTGGTTCATAACTGTCTCATAGGTTTCGTATTGGAAATTAAAACAGAAAGTTTTAGATTACTCATTATCTAGCAATGGCAATAGCATACCCGTTACATGTTAACATAAATTGCATGTTTTTATGAGAAATGACTACCAAAATTCACTGAGAAAATGGCAGTGCTGTTTTTGCAAATCTCTTTAATGTCTGATTGAATGGACGGGAGCTGGCTTCTCAAGTTTGCTTCTACCTTCAGGCTGCTCAGTCACACGTCTCGTAGCCAGGGGAGGTCGGTGTGACGATGGTTCCAAAGGCAGATTGTATCTTAGTGTCGTCACAAACCCGGCAGACCCCAGGAAGGGCCCAAGGGACCCCACTTTGAGGACTGCCGTGAACCCTCTTCCAGGCCTCCACACTGCTCAGCTGAACCCTTTTGTCCTTGTAGCTCCAGCTCAAGTTCGTTTACCCTGGAATTTAAGGAGGATTGCTGAGCCCATCTTGGACCATATTTTTTCCACCTTTTACATTTAAGTAGCAATTATTTGCTCTACTGATTAGCATTCGGACTGCCCGGGACACCATCATTTCCCTGTGATTTGCCCCCCTAACTAGATGAAGTCCTTGAGGGCAGCAGTCTAAGTCAGTGCTTCTCTGCACTGGTCATTTTTGTGGGAGCCTGGTGTCAGGAAGCGTGCAGTGGTGGAGAGGCACCTTCCTGCATCTCGGGGAGCTGGGGAGTCAGTCTGCCACCAGCATGAGTCACGGTGACATTTTCCTAAGTCACAGGGAAAATTCGTCTGAACGATTTCAGCTATAAAAAGTCCCCAAGACTCCCTAAAACATTGGGGACCCGTTTATGTCAGGGCACCAGGGTGTCTAGTTCAGCACAACTTTGTAGGTAACTGTCTGCATTTTCTGGTCTGTGCCTCAGTTTTCAGTCGCAGACTTCTTGCTTCTCCGTCAGGTTTGAGAGCAGTCCCTGCGGAAGTGCAGCTTCCCACACCCAAACGCGTGCCTTCTCCATTGCGTCCACCTGGGGGAGCAAGAGAACAAGCCCGGGAGTGCAACTGCCCTGGGCTCTGCATTATTGGTTGGA